TAGAATAATGATAGACAAACGAATACTTGACAATATAGATGGAAGCATTGAGAAAAGGACTAGACATCATGGATGAAAAACCATTCAATCAGCTTATAATTATTATTTCATTTTTCTTGTTGGTATATGATTATTAATTATGGGGTCCATTTGATATAGTTTTTGACTAAAAAATGTAGTTGATTTTGATCAAAGTTAATGTAATATGATAGAAAAATTGATAAAAATTATAAGCATCCTAGAATCTATAGTATAAATTGAAGTTTGATCCGTTCAAATTTTTATACTTTTCAAAAAAAAATTGATTTTCAACAAAACCAAACAAGCACTATATGTATAAATATCTCACACTAGTCTCTTCATCGTATTACTTAGTCCAATTTGTAACTCGTAATATCTACAGCTTAATATTTATTATGCCCCCGTTTGGCCCCCATTTTCTGAAAATGAAAATGGGGGGAATAATATTTTTTTGAAAAATGAGTGGTTGAAAAAGAATGAAAAATTTTCGATTTACGTGTAATATTATTTTATGGAAGATTGTATGGTTGAAAATAGAAGAGAGAAAAATCAAATGTAATGTAATTGAATTTAATGGGGGCCAAACGGAGGCTATATAAGTAATCAAATGTCTAGCATTATTACTTTTTAGTAACTTTTTGTTTCAAATATATTAGTATCATTAACTTGAAAATCTTATTCGATGATAGTGAGCTCATACGCCAAACCTCAACTAAAACTAGAAAATCTTAATATCATTTTACATTTTAAATCCTCCTAGTAAAATTACCAATAAATAAATTCATCTACCATGCTAACCCACTAGTAAATAAATAGACTGCGTGCAATTTATTCAACCTTGCTAAATGAACAGGTTCATTGACAGAATTTAAAACAAGGAGACAAGTGTCTTTTTTTATTGGACAGTTAGAAAAAAACTCTCACCAAACCCTATTTTCGCCCCTCCCTGTTTGATTAGCTTTATTCCAACTTATTAGATAAACAAAAGAGACCATCCCCTATTTTTCGCCTCCTTTTAGGGCCAAAAATTCATGAAAGCTATTAGTTTGAAGAAGATATTCAATTGAGATTGTAACTCCAAATAATTTATGTGGCTCAAAATGTGACTATTTTAATAGCTAGTTAGTTACTAGTTTTGTACCTCGAAAAAAATGCAACAATCAACTATTTAATACCATAGTTGCTAGTTATGTAGATTTCTTTAATTTGAAAAGAGAGAATTTAAATGAAAAGAATATGTATAAAATTCCCCCATCGAAGGGATTTGTGTCGTATTTCCTACCCCTACTTTAATCCCATCCTAGCTTCATTACTCTTTTTCCCCCTCATCGACATACTAAGCGTAGAGTTTAAATCACATTCATCATTCCCAGTGTCCATACACTTCTTCTTTAACTTTCATTTTTTTAATTTTACCATTTTCATGCTTTTGGCGTTGACCCTCACCAGAAGTTTGTACGAAAAAAAACTTCTAGCAGTGCAAATAAAACAAATTCTCCCTTAATACAAGGAATATATATATATAATAATTATTCAATTAAACAAGTCAAGTATTTGATGGCTTGACCAAAATTATTACCACCCTTCTTCAAACCTTATCATTGTCAGAGAGGTGATTACTAATATAAGAAATGAGAGGTTGGTTGGCTGGACTTTTTATTGTACATCTTCATTCTTACACCCCATACATACATACATATATATATATATATATATATATATATATATAAAGGAGGTAAATTGTAAGATGTGTCCCAACAGGTTAGAGAACAAGAGCTGTCTGTACATTGCGCCTACAAGGAGTCTAATTCGATGTCTCAAAAATCGAACCTCCACCTGCGACTACCAGTGAAATAACATCACTCATATCCTTTACAACACTGAATTATGTTCCGGAAGTGTCTATACTTCTCTCTCTAGCTTATCATCTCTCTCTCTCTATATATATATATATAGATGTGTGTGTATCCTTCTCTCTCTAGCTTATCATCCCTATCATTAAAGTCTGCATGAGTTCAATAATTGCAATGATCCCAAAAGCATGACATATCTGACCCAGTCACCTCCTCTAGATGAGTATTTTAATTGGCACTCTATTTAATAGCCACCCCCCACGCGTGTAGGACCAACCAGTCAAGAATTTATGCATTCATTTAATACAAATAATATGCAAATAAATGTACAATGCCTTTTAAGTAGACAAATTATTTTTTGGGATACTCGATTTGTGGTTTTATTTTTTTTATGGTACAAAGGTTGATTTCTCTAGACATTTGTTTTTGAATTATGGAAAATTCTTTCTTGTAATATTACTCCAATAGAAAGTTTCATGCACTTACGCATTCTTCTTTAGACTTGTTATTGTCATTTCTTTTGTCATAAATTAAATAATAATAATAATAATAATAATAATAATAAATTTATCACATGTTATGCAATTTTCTTTTTTAACACGATTTTCATGTGTAAATTGATGGAGACAGATGAACTTGCACTCAAATAACTTTTCTTGAAAATGATTTGAACTGGTTCGTATAAAAATTTCAACAATTATAAATTTTGTCAATTATATATTCAAATTATGAAAATCTCTCTCTCTCTCTCTTGGGCAAAATAAAAATAAATCAGTATGACTCCCTAATATTTGAAGTTGACAGCATTTATATTTTTATTTATTTTATTGCAACCATTGAAAGGTTTAATGCAATTAATTATTTCACAACACAAAGGCCTTCATTAATAACAATTACAAATTTAAGGAACATGTTTTACTTGAAGAATCATTGGATACCATGTAGAATAATTATACTCCATTTTTAAGAATTAATGGTATAATTAATTAGTTTAATATAACTAGAAATTAAAAAAAAATGAACAATCACACTCATTATTCTCAAAAAACTTTTCTTGAAATACTAAAATATGGTCAGCTTGTCTTCTTAATTAAAAACATGTTGTTGGAACAAACTATGGTCTAATTTATGTTAATCCGACCAAACTTTCAAGTGGCTTTTATTTTCTTTTTTTATTTAACCATGCAATCTTTTGTTCCAAAGAGCGTGCCTTGTTTAGACCAAAATTTTGGCCAGTCAGCGAAATCTGGTGGGGCAGAAGCAGCCAGCAGCCGTCTGATCAGAGTCATTTCTTGTCAATTAATTAATTTCTTCGAATTTGATGCCCATTTACAAATATTAAATTGTCTTTCTTTGACCCAAGAAAAGGGTAATTAAAACATCATGCTCTCCAAAACCACTAGCATCCCCACACAAGCACAGTCCCAAATCACATCAAAATCGAACTAATTTATCTTTAATGCAGACAAGGAAAAACAATAAACTGGAGCAAGTACTGGCTAGTGTGAGAGCAGCAATTCGGAAAGCAGCCTCGATAAAAAACCAATCAGTAATCTACAAGAATAATGATCTTTTCTCCGGCCAAATTTATCGGAACCCCAACTCGTTTTATCGGTAAGTAAGTTTCCTCTTAAATTCAAGCAATAAAAGAGAATTAATTAATTAATTTTATTTATTAGAAGTGTTAGAAACTTGTATGTGTTTCAATCGAGATACTAATCAATTTATGCATTCAATAAAGTTTAAGTTATAATTTAAATTGGTCAAACATATTTTTTTGTATCCAGACATGTAGTAGGGTCGTAGTTTACAAATTTACAATTATAACTCTCAAGAATATATTGGTTTTTCCCCCTTACATATAAATACTTATTTGCTTGATAAGCAAGGATTAAAAACTTACGTACGGAGTGACTTGGAAACTTATTTATCGGTAACGTGGGAGCTTAGATTCTTATTTTACATGTATGCTACATGTCTAAATTTTTATTTACGTATTGAATAGTTTGTGTATGAATTATGTATGCAAGGGAAATTGGAAGGGCTCTATGTGCTGTGACTGTGACAGCTTTCCTTGTAAAACACTCAGTTTCTTGCTACTGATTCTTAGGAGGGAAAGTGAGAGTCTTGTAATTGACGCATGGAGAGTGTAGTGCGCACACTCATTTTTCCCTCCACTCTATTGTTTTTGCATTTTGTGGAAAACTGAAAAAGCCGGCTACTATTACTCTTACTCATGCTTGATAGTGATAAACATTGCTGATGGGCGGCTACGCTCTTTAAGGGTTTGTATTTTTCAAACGAGATATGTTTTCGGACCTAAATGTAATTAAAAATATTTATAGTTTGCCGCTGAGTGAGGGGGAAAAATGCATCTCAAGAAAGTTGGTATGGGATCTCAAATAAATACTCGAATTTCAAGAATATATTCAAATGAACCATAGCCCATCTAAAATCTCAAACAAGCCCTTGAGTTCAAAGATGATTGTAAACAGATGAACCACGTGTCCACTCCAATACTCAGTATGAATGTGTAGGATAAATTTTACCGTCTACATCAGTACCAACATTTATACATGAAATATTCTTTTACATTCAATTTTATGTTTATTTTTTAAATTTTTCTAAATATCAGTTATCATTTAATTGTAGCATAGATTTGCCAAACCTAAAATGTAGACACAACTATAACTTTGGCCTCTTTTTTTTAGAGACTTAAATACTAAACATTAATAGTATACCGACTCAGTATGAATGTGTAGGATAAATTTTACTGTCTACATCAGTACCAACATTTATACATGAAATATTCTTTTACATTCAATTTTATGTTTATTTTTAAATTTTTATAAATATCATTTATTATTCAATTGTAGTATAGATTTGCCAAACCTAAAATGTAGACACAACTATAACTTTTGCCAATTTTTTTCAGAGACTTAAATACTAAACATTAATAGTATACCAACTTTCATCATTCGTAGCCCTCAAATTATGATGTACTACACATATATAATTACTTTTAAAAAATTCCACTCTCTCCCTCTCTCTCTCTCCCCTTCTTCCCCCAACCCCCCGCACACCCGCACCCTACACACACACACACACACACACACACACACACAATATACATATTTATATATTTCTATATGGATTCACGTGCGTTTTGCAAAATCTTGAATTTTTTTGGACAATCTTTTACTTTGACAAAGCAAGATTAGGCCATGAGATTAGCCTGTCTAGTTGCTTAGCAGATGCTACAGAACTCGAGATTGAATACTATACAACTCCTGTTCTTTTAAATTTCTTGAGCCCCTTCAATCAAGGATCAATTCTTTTCAATCAAACCCTCCTTTTCTTTTCTTTTTTTGTTTTCTTTCTCCTCAGTGAAACTAAAATCTCCCATGGAGCTAAATCTGAGTTTGGGTGACATACCAAAGGGATTCACTTTTCTTGGCAAGTCTCGGGAAATTGATGGTGAAGAAGATCTAGGGTTTTGCATGGCTTTAGGAATGAAAGGTGAAGATGAAATCAGCAAGAAAGAAACAAGTGAAAGAAAACGGTCTTCATCAGATTTACCCCTCCAGCTTGATCTTCTGCCTTTCTCTCCTGTTCCACGCAGTCAAACTTCATCAAGTCTTCGTTTCCCTTGGCTCACTCAAAACTGTAATACTTTTTTTTTTTTTAATCTGTCTTGTTCTCAAAATTTGAAATTTTTCTCTATAATTTTATTTTTATTTTTATTTTTTTGGGTTTTACTCCCCAGAATGATTTTGATATTTCATTCACAGTTACTAACTTCTCCTTGCATGATATGTCCTCGGAACATTTCAACTCTTTTTATAAGATCAATTTCTGATTATTTTGTAGCACCAGTTGCTACCTATATAATATTTTATTTTTTATTGTAGATTTTTAACTTGTTTTGTCTAAAAGCTTAAATGATTAAAGAGAAAATATTTGAATTTAGCCATTGTCTTTTGCACGCGTGTAGACTAGGATTTGTTTTTACATGGAAGGACTTATAGGTAACATAACTTTCATAAGCCGGCTAGAATTGAATTTGTCTCGTCTGAAAGTTTAAATTTTTGACAATTTTTGTATTTATTTTCATAGGGTTTATTAATCTTTCATATTGTTTGATTCTGCATCAGTGGCTAATGAAAGGGGAAAAGGGTTAGAGAGGACTTTAGGGGTGGAGGAAGCTGAAAATGGCGCAGCACAGTCTTCTCCAAACAGCACAGTTTCATCATTTCGAATGGATTTTTCAATTTACACAAGAGGCAAAAGAGATGCAAAGGAATGTGAGGCAGATGGAGGGGCTTCTTCAAGGGCAAGTGATGAGGAAGAAAATGGTATGGCCAGAAAAAAACTTAGACTCACGAAAGAACAGTCTGCTTTTCTTGAAGAGAGCTTCAAAGAGCACAACACCCTCAACCCTGTAAGTCAGAACTCTATGGTTAAACCTCTGTGTATGTGTCTTTTTTTCGACGGAATAACTAATAAATTTTGTTAATCGTATTTCATTCGAAGGTTAAAGTCATGATTTTGTGCTTATATTGCAACTCACTGATACGCAGAAACAAAAGCTTGCTCTTGCAAAGCAGTTGAATCTCCGTCCACGCCAAGTTGAAGTATGGTTCCAAAACAGAAGAGCTAGGTACGTGTTGGAACAAAATATTAATTATTTCAGAAAACAATTGCTGGTTTTGCGATTACTTGATGCATTTATGATTTGCAGAACAAAGTTGAAGCAGACAGAAGTAGATTGTGAGTATTTAAAGAGATGCTGTGAGAAACTGACAGAAGAAAATAGGAGGTTGCAAAAGGAGATTCAAGAATTAAGAGCTTTGAAGGCTTCACAACCTTTTTACATGCAGCAACCTGCCACAACTCTCACAATGTGCCCATCTTGTGAGCGCGTCGCCACCGCTAAACCTAAATTAGTTTCATTTTAGCATCCCCAACGGGCTGCTTCTTGAACAGAAAAAAACGATATTTTTCTTTGCCTTTGTACAGATACTTGGATTTTTTACTTTTTACAATGTCTGGAATGCCTTGTTGTCTGCTGATGAATTTAATTTGTTTGATTAGATAATTAAATGTTTTGTACTGCTATTAATTTTATTGAGACAGATTATGAATTGTCACTTTCTGATTTTTCATCATTTCATATTTTCAAGCATTGACTGACTCTCCTTATTCATTGTTGTTGTTATTGTTCATGAAGCCAATATTATTTGTTTCGAGAAAAGTTTCGCATCAATTAGACGTGAAATCTGAAACCTTGATGAGTCTCTCGACATGTGTAGGAGATCCGAACAAAGGTGATAGCTTAAAAAACATGGTTGGTTCTCAATACTATTTTTAATTTTTTTTTTTTTTTTTTTTTTTTGTATTATGACGGGGGATCCGCAATTGCTACCCTTCCGGTGCTCATTGGATAAACCTTCAGGCTTGCGTAATAGCCTGCAAATCACGCAAGTCAGATAAATCGCACTAGACAAGTTCTGTGCGACAGGCTCGTCCGAGAAAGTATTGATAGAGGGAATCGAACTCATGATCAAAAACCTCTGTACTCACCTACTCTAGTAACTCGGCCACCTCATGAGGGGCTTGGTTCTCAATACAATTGTGCCTATGTAAGATGGTGAAAGAGGTGGGCGGTGTGATTCTTTTTAATTCGAGGAAGATAGATGGAAAACCTGATCAAATGATGACAACATTACATTAATTCACATTGAGGACCTTAGACGACCTAGTCTCTGTCGAGTCCAGAAAACTGGTTTAGTCGGCCAAACTACTCGGCCTTACTCAGCCAAACTACTCTAATAACTTGGCCACCCCATGAAGGGTTTGGTTCCCAATACAATTGTGCCTACGTAAGATGGTGAAAGAGGTGGGCGATGTGATTCTTTTTAATTTGAGGAAGATAGATGGAAAACCTGATCAAATGATGACAACATTACATTAATTCACATTGGGGACCTTAGACGACCTAGTCTCTGTCGAGTTTAGAAAACTGGTTTAGTCAGCCAAATTACTCGACCTTGCCTATAGGATTTGTCTCCTGTAGTCGTCCTTATCTTGCGCTCGACCTCCTTTGGTTCATCTGCATTGGATCATTAACTTGTAACGATGACTTGACTTGACATTTTCACATTGCAAATCTTTCATTTTTTACTTTTTATCGTATCATGTAACTTTATAGAATGACAATTATCATGATTGATTCAACTAATCAAGAAATTATTAAAGTCAATGATTATTAGAAATATGTGTTTATCATCATCATTACTTTTACGCGTTATTGTGATGATATTCATGTGCAGAATTATTATTCTTTTGCCTTGAAATTAAGTGTGGTTGACTTAATTACTGGCCATCTCTCATTCAATCAAAATCACAAACTAAATTTTACTCCTAATAAATAATTACATGGTTTGTAACATGAATTACACACACAAACACCAAGAGATTACGCAGTTTGTAATATAACTAACAAATTAGTCATTATATCGCAATTCATAACTAACATTTCTAAATTCAATTGTCAAAAATTACATACACTGTAACAAGAATGACACAGAATGTAAGTTACGAATATTGTAATTTATTAAATGCAAAGTTTTCCGATTTTCTTCGTAAAAAATTACATATCGTATTCTCTTATAAAGCCCTTCTATATTGTAATTTTGCAATATTTAACAAAAATATTTTAAATAAATAAATAAAATTCAACAATTTTCCATTCATTCCCTATTGTTGCACTATATGTGTAATTTCCGCTTTTCCTAACTCAAGCTTATGAAAATTGGACCAGCCCCTATTGTGAGAGTTTTAATCAGTTCTATGGCCCATTTATACATATGGGGGTAATTTCTTTCATTTTTCATCTAGACTCTATTATGTTTCTCTTTGTCACATCTCACCTCTTCTAAATAAGTTTGAGAGTGGTTTTGTTTGGTCAGTTTCAACTCCAATCCGTAATCAAAACCAAATTAATAGATTTTAGCGAATTTCAACCCAAACCAACCTACTCTACCTCTTAAATTGAACCAAACCAAACCGAATTGGTTCGGTTAGTCGGTTTGGATTTTTAGTCCAAATTACATTTAAAAAAAAAATTGTCCGAATTCTAGCCCCACTTAGATTATAAGAACTAAAATAATTAAATAAATTTATATTATAAGAACTATTGATTAACAAATAAAATCAGATTAATAGAGACGGATCCACAAAAAACTTAAAAGATTTTTTTTTTAAAAATATATTATGTAGTCTGATTGCCTGAGTAAAAAAAAAATTTCAAGTATAACATAATGAGCTTGTGAAAGGAAATTTTCAATGCTATTACTTATTGACAACATTATAGATTGTAAGGAATCAATATATAGTTATGAGATAAAGGATTATCTTTTGATTTTAATTTTGATTTTTCTTAAATTAAAAAAAAAAAGGTAAACATGTAAATGAGTTGGGATGGTTCGGTTAACCAACATTTTGAAACTTCAAATCATGACTGAACGAACTTATCGTGATTTTGTTTAAAAGAAAACCAAACAAAATCAACTACATGTGTCGAGCCGAACCGAGTCGATTCGGTTTGATTGGTTTGGTCGATTTTCCATTTTTTAAGTGTACTGTTAGTAAACAAATGAACCTAGGTAAATAATATCAAACTTGGAAGAAACATATTTTTGAAATAATAATTATGATTTTGTGTTAGAACTTAGGATTAGATGTTGTCAAATGAAGTTTGATATACATGAATATAAGGCAAATTAAAAACCTTCTATTAATTAACACATCTCGTTTTTTATGATGATTTCTGTCAAAATATTTTGTATACTTTGAAATGAGGAAAAACATTCTTTGTCGCACTTATATATATATAAAGTATGATGAAAAGCAAGTCGTTTTATGCCTTTAATGGATTTTTTGGATAGTAACTATTATCAGATGCTAGATGTGTTAACTAATAAAGAACTGAGGATAAGATTGTTAGGAAACAAAATTAAATATATAAGCGTTATAATAAATAAAAATTGAGAACTTTAAGAGCAAAGATTTCTTCGAGATGCACATGTTTCCTGCACGGTAGATGATTCATCCATGTAAAGACTTTTCCCACAATGTTTAAGCTACATCGACGGGAGTCATATATATCAACCATACAGAATTTAGAGGTGGGCCCTTTGGGGATCCACTTCTTCTTCGAAGCGATTATACTTTCTTGCACGGTGGATGTTTTATTCATGCAGATGCTTTTCTCATGATATTCAGTTTCATCCATGATAGGCATATAATGTCAAAAATAGAAAAATGAGATTGAATCACGCTACATGTACAATCTAATTTAGCAATCTTGGTTGATAACTCACATTCGATAACATCACATTCGATAACATCTCAAAAACCGTTTATTTTTTAATTAATGGCCTGAATTTTGACAACACCAATATTGTCCATCCTTATTGTTGAGCATGATTCTACAAATAATATAATTGAATATTGAAATATGATTTAGACATCTATCACGCATTTTTTTATTTTTTATTATTATTTTTTTTATCAATTCTAGCTTGTCAACGTGACCCGTACACCATTTGGGTTTATTCACGCGTTTCTTTTCTTTTCTAAAATTCAAATTTCTATTCAACATTCCGAATGAAATTATAGATAGACCAAAAATATGTAAATAAAACGATTTAGAAATAAAAACTAAACACAAACTCAATTCAATGTCAAAATGTAGTAATCTAAAGGGGGTTTGTTTTCCATTTTTATAAAAATGAGAATGAAAAATATAGTCGTTATGAACCCGAAATAGAAATTCAAATTTGATGGCTTGATGTGATGGATAACGGTCATATTTTTCATTTTAATAGGAAAAAAATGAAAAACAAACGGGGGCTAAAACTAAAATATGATCATTTTGTCATAACAATGAGAATTAGTTGCACATCGATTTGACAAAATAAAATATATGAGTAACATTCTCGGACATTAGTAAAGCGTGGAAATATCTAGTTTTTATTGAATTTTTCGTGTAAAATATTTGTATAATTTCATATTTGGCTACTAATAAATTTTCAACTCTCTTGTCCTGAAAATGGCAACATTTCAAGTGAGTTTAACTCCGAGTTTTTATTTTAAGTATTGATTAATTAAAGTAATTACGATTAAACTTGCGAGTTTTATTTTGCATTTGCAGATATGGAAAGATGGTGAAATGAAGTGATTGGAGGGCACAGAGCATGGCTTGTAATGGAAGAATTTAAAGAAATGATCAGAAAGTGTGTATGAAATTCGAAAGAGGTGTTTATATTAATTTTTAGAGACTGTAAAGTATTTAACAATTTTTTAAAGGAAAAAAAAGTTTAATTTATCGTTTTAAGTAATATGTCCCTCTCCCGTTGATCATAATGCTTAGAAATCAATGTGCAAGTAGCAAAATTAAAAAGAATAGAAAATAAAATAAAATAAAATTATGGGGATTAATGGTTCCTTTCGGTCAAAAATAACTCAAGTAGAAAAAGGAAAAAAGTAAAAGTTTAATGTCGCCTGAGAGATTCGAACTCTCGTGGAACCACTCGGCCAAAGCGACGTTCATTTAATAGTTTAGCGTATGGCTAATATAAACGTTATACAGGTTTAATTCGGAAAAACAATACTTTGAATGCTAAATTTTCAATAATTAAAATATAACGAAAATTTTTGAATTTATTTGTAAAATATTTTATTGTATAAATGTATAAATAAAAATGGAAGTGTAGAAAAAAAAGGTATCTTAAAATAATGATTACCAAACAGGGCATATCCATGTAAACCATCAACATTTTCAATTTAAGTTTCGATAATCAAAAAATTATTCAAAATCAAATCAAACCATTTAAAAAAAAAAAAAAAAAAAGCAAGAACAAGAAGCAAATAAAACTAATTTCACTGTGGTCGGAATTTAGGATTGACCTCAATGCTTTTAGGTATTTATTCAGCAGTTTCAGTTTCATCTGAAAAATGGTTTAAAATTTAGGTATTCAGTTGTGCATGGAAGCTTTTGAGTTCCTTTCGAATACACTGGCATTGAATGGTTTATCAAAGACACCGGGTGAGGTTCAAAACCTCGTTTCCAATGAGGCTGATCGGTTCTAGAGAACATTGTCTCTACTTACACGTCATCAGTACTAAAAACAAGAAATATGATTCAAGATGAAAGCTGAAACAGTTAATCAACTGATTACCTTCATCTGAGCCCGACAGCATCAGCATCCTTGTCCTGGATAGTTGGATTAGCCGAGCCAAGGACGAGAGTGCATGATCAACACACCCCTAAAGCACCTACGTTCCACAGGACATAAATAAACCTAACCGGAAAAGAGTTGCACCTAGATGCCTCCTTAAAATTGATTTAAGAAAGGCATATGATTCGGTTCATTGGGATTTTCTTAAAAGTGTGCTTAAAGGGCTCAAATTTCCAGCAAAATTCATTGCATGGGTGATGGAATGTATCACAACGCCTTCGAACTCCATTGCATTGAATGGTTGCTTCCATGGTTTCATTAAAGGAAAGGAGGGGCTTTGTCAAGTTGACCCGCTCTCTCCCTACTTGTTTGTTATTTGTCTTGAGTACTTTTCAAGAATGTTGAAGGGAGCTACCAAAAATAGTGAGTTTAATTTCAATCCTAAATGTGGTCCATTAAAGATTACCCACCTTGCTTTTGCGGATGACTTGATGCTCTTTGCTAGAGGAGATGCTATCTCGGTTGGTATTTTAATGGAATGTTTATCCAATTTTGGAGATATGTCCGGATTAAAGATGAATGTTAATAAGTCAAACTTGTACACGGCGGTGTCCACCGACAAGAGTTGGAGGATATTGTAAAACTAACAAACTTATTGAAAGGATCTATGCCTTTTCGTTACTTGGGAATTCCTCTTGCGGCGGAAAAACTTAAAATCAGCTCCTATGATTCACTCATCAACAAAATTAAGGACTACATTGGAGCATGGTCAAGGGCTACTTTATCTTTTGCGGAGAGAGTGGAACTTGTGAGAGTCGTCCTACAAGGTGTTGTATGTCGTTGGCTCTCCATTTCTTCCTATTCCATCCATGGTTGCATCTAAGGTTACTAGCTTATGCCGTAACTTTCTTTGGGATTCAAAAAAGCCGTTGGTTGCTTGGAGAAATATTTGCTTACCTAAACAAGAAGGTGGGCTGGGATTTAGAGAAATAAAATGCTGGAATTCGACGATCCTCGCTAAAACTCTTTGGAACATTCACTCCAAAAAAGATACACTTTGGGTGAAGTGGGTAAATATGATTTTCCTTGGTGGTAGGGACATTTGGGACTACACGACAAGGAAAGACGACTCTCCATTACTTAAAAGATTACTGGAAATTCATGACAGATTCCTACAGCTTCAATGACCAGATCAGAATGCACCTCACACTGCACGGCCTGATGCAGTTTCTATGGCTACAATAGACAGCTTCATTGCATGCACAGCGGGGGCAACTTTTCTGTAGCAGCAGCTTATAATTTTTTTAGAACAAAGGGCATGAAAGTTGCCTGGACAGAAATAATTTGGAACTCCTATATCACCCCGAAACATGCCTTTATCCTTTTGTTAGGAGCTAGATCAAAGTTACTAACAAAGGATAAATTGAAACATTTGAATATTGATCGAAGGTATATTTTTTGTGGAGTTGATGAGGAGACTGAGTGTCACTTATTTTTCTCCTGCCCAATCAGTTTTGCTATTTTGGGACATGTCCGTGATTGGTTGGGCATTAGACGCTCCATGTCCACCAGACCAAGCGCATTGAAATGGATTAAGAAAGAAGTTCAGTGGACAACATGGCATAGCAAAGCTAAGTGGATCGCTCTTGCAAGCACCATTTACCATTTATGGATGGCATGTAACAGGGATATTTTTGAGGATTTAACACCTAATGTTGAAGGCATTGTTCGTAAGATCAAAACACACGTATACAAAGTTATTTTCTCTTCATATCCATATGTTTTGATTCTTTTTGAATCTTTGACATTTGACGTTTGAACTTCTGTTTTGTTCATCATTTCGTGTTTGCTTTTTAGAACTTCTCCCGGGTATGCCGGTGTACTGGTCGTTAGTTTTACTTTGCTAGCTCAAATATGCCCGGAGTACTTGTAATCTCCGCACTTTGATTGCTCGAGTATGTCCGATGTACTTGTATATGAATATTTTTTATCAATGATATTTACATTTACCGATCAAAAAAATAAAAAAAATAATAGCTTTAGGCAGCTATTTTAACCACCAAAATGAAAAAGAATTGGATATAACTGGCGCCTAAATAACCTACCAAACAGGCCAAAGATAAGCAAGTTTAACAGGGTCGAAGAAAGTAGAAATGAATGGAGATAGCCTCCTGAACTGAAAATCCTATTCACAAAATATACCTATAGAATCAACTGTCTACAGCCAAATCTCATTGAAGGTATAGGACAACGAATGGAGTGAGAGCAAGTAAACTCCTCTCAAAAACACACATCACAGTAAGCTTAAAACAAGAACATATATCAAAAGAAATTCTCCGCATAGAAAAATGGAATCACATTTTCACAGACTAATTCCTCCCTGAAATTGAAATGCAGTGAACTACTAAAGAACAAGAATGAGAAGGCACGGGATTATATTCACTAAAACAGTTGGCATGAAAACAAAATATATAAATAAATAAATAAATAAATAAAAAAGGGCATAATGAGAGCTATTTCTTTTGGCTGAACTGAACTCAAAGAGTAAGCTAATTACTCCGAATTTCAGTCACAGAGGATCAAAAGCATTCTATCGCTTTCTACACATAAAAACCAATCAATAGCAAAAGTTGGATATTTAGGAGCGAGGATTTGCAAACATACATCAAAGCATAATACTACTAATATCTTTCACCAGGAGCCCAGAGCTTTGGCACAGATGAAAGGTTTTCATAATTCCCAGTAACTATGACATGTAGGGAAATTCATACAATCAATCACAGACAATTAATTACAACACAGCAAGGATCTCTTTCATTTTAATTTCATAAACCTGACAAGAATTGTAAGGACTTTACTGAAAAACAATTGGTCACAACCATTTAAGTATGATCTGCTTGCAATACTGTCAAAGGAAGTCCATGATATTTATATTCAAAAAGACCATGTAACTAAATTCAAAACTTTAGGACTTCTGGACTAAGAAAAATCATATTCCAAAACCAAAGACAGCCCGGATCTTGTGAAAAATAAGATCGCGCCATCCCCGCTCGGTATTTTCGACAACAGTAGCATTTCCATACCTGCATCAAGAATCAAAATCAGCGCTGTTCTTCTATAGAATTCAACAACCAAATAAATCAAACCAACCTGTCTTCCTCTGGAACATCAGTATGTGAGAGATGGACAACTGTTACCCCAGATTCAGGCTCATCGAAAGTAAGACGGACCTGCACGATCAAGCATCCACATTTCTTTAGTAGATTAACCAATTGAAACCTAGAAATACTAAGCAGAAATGCATATTCAGGTAACCATAACCACATTTCAAACTGACAAATCAACTATTTAGACAGCTAATCAATAATAGCTCAGTAGACATACCAAATAATGCATTAATTGAGAATATAATCGGCGTACAGAGATATATCCCTTCACGAGATAGTTGAGATAAAGCTAAGTTTAACTCTATACAGACATAACATTTATGGATCCAGCTTTCCATAAGAAAACACACATTTAACATTTATCACTGGCTGCTCATCAAATACAAATTCCAAACGCAATGTCAATTTTACAGTTCAATATAAATAGATAAGAGTAAAAATTAACGATTGCTAAGAAAAACTTTTAACAAATCACATACCGTGGACATTATGCCATCAGGCCAGCTCCCAAACCGCCATTTCTGAACAATCAACTTGCCTTCCTGCAGCTCGACATTGACCCCCGAAACTGACCCGTCAAAAATATTGAATTCCCCTCCGACCTCCTTACTTATCCGCGCATTGCTCTGTGTAAACCCCTTCCACCTATTCTCATCCATTAATATCTCATACAAATCCCTCGCCCTACAGCTAAACTTCTCACTCATTATAATCGTCTTATACCCTTCTTTCCGCTTTACCTTCTTAGTACTCGTACTGCTCACAGAATTATTTTCCACAGTTCTATTACTATTCCTCGCCGGGGATTTCTTAGGGGCGACTTTCTTGACCTCCAAATCATCCTTTGCAGGCCCGCCTTTCGCCATTGCATCAACATACTCCCTAATTTTCTCGAACACAAACGGCTTACCCTTTGCGACAAATTCTTCTTTCAATCGTTTCCCAATCGGCCCATCGTCCTTAATCGAAATTTTAATCTCCGGATCCTCCCCAGCATTCTCATCGGAAATATACGGCACTTCAACAGATCCCTCAGTACGTAATACGGAACTGCCATCAGAATCCTTTGCCTCTGCCTCATAAGAAATAACCAAATGGAGCTCGTATCCAGGAATGATTTTACCCTTTCTGACATTGACATAGGCCTCGCCCTCGAGTTTTGCAAGCTCCTTGATACGGATATAGAAATTGCCCTCGCCATCGAGTATAGGTTTGTTGCAGAGAACGTTAGTTAGGTAATTTCTTGACCATTCAAGGCAGTCCGTCTCCGCCCAGTGCCAGTTGTGGACATTGGCGCCGTCGGGACGGTCCTCCACGATCCATCGCTTGTCTCCCTCTCCCAATCGTGCCATTTTGTGGGATTTAGTCTCTCCCGGTGTTTGCAGAGGTTACGGTGATATAGGATTTAGGTGAATTTAAGAAAGAGGAAATCTGGAGGGTTCGAGAGGAAGAAGGGTCTAGAGATGGGGAGTGGAAAATATAAAAGAGAGTTATCTAAGAAGGGTCTAGAAGGTGGGGAAACTTCTAAATATATGAAGTATCAAATTTCCATTTTACGATATATTAAGTCAACCTTTATTTGACTTCCTCCATCACATCTCCACAAGAGGTACTTGGGTAGGTGCCGTACCATCCTACCGGTGGAGCCGCCACCATGTTAAATGCTCATCTTTACCCAATGAGATGAAGTCACATTTAATGGCTCATCTTCACCCAATGAGATGATGTCATATTTATTGTGTTAATTAATAACTTATTTCATTTCTAAGCTTATAATATTCCGTTCATATCGCCCTCTCATGACCTTTAAAAGTGTGAGCATATTTCATTGATTAACAATTGATGTGATCCAAGGAACAAAAACAAGTCCAGACAAAGATATGTTGATTGTTGAAGAAGGTCCTATGATTAGGTCGCGAGCAAAGAGGGTAAAAGAAAATGACGGAATTGTTTGTTCAAGCAACGATGGACGAAACATCGATCATGGGTTCCCTATAAAATAAAACTCATTATTTATATTGTAAACAAATTTCATTCATATATTAAATTGAGAAATTATTTTGTAAGCAATTTTACTTTCAATTTCTTGTTCTTTATTGAATTAATTTACAAACTTATCAAAAATTATTTTTTGTGGCGTTCAAACAATCTAGATGAGATTCTTGAATCTCGTGATCACGGATTTAACATATTGTCTGCAATCGTGGTGATTCTTTGGTTTAATGTTTTTGGATCGAACTCTAAACTTTGATTTTTTGGGTCAAATCAATATTTTGTGTTTCAAAATTACAATTGCTACGTGGATTTACATCAATTGGTATAAGAGTTTGGGATTCAAAAATCAAGGTTATATCATTTTCCTTTTTTGTTTCAGTCTTTTGTTTTCTTTCCTTATAATTCTTTGCGTTCTTCATCTTTTGGGTCATTTAATGCAACTAACGTTCCAAAAAAGTTCAAAAACTGTTTGTGCACTAAATTAGTGTTCGAATTAACTTCTTTTCAAAAAATTTGGGCTCCTTGTTGAATCTTCTTGTGTTTAGCACCAAAAAAATCCGAAAATTTGCAAAAATAAAAAGAAAAATAAATATTGTGAAGATAGCCCAAAACTCAAAAGAAGATAGTGTCCAATCAAAATTCAAGAACTACTTTCTTGGATTAATATTAATTCACATTCAAAGTGTCAATTTCATTTACTTTTTTGTTATTTCCTTTCCTTGAGTCTTCTAAGTTACAATTCGTCGCTCACATTCTAGTTTGAATTCTTCGAGAATAAAATTTGATTGAGATCGAATTAGTTCTTTGAAGTACTTTGGCGAAAGCATCCGAGTGGAAAAAGATAAGATTGGTGAGACTATTAAAGGAAAAAATCAATTTGAGTGATACACGAGCATATACACATAAGGTAAATACTACTATAGATTTAAGATGTCTGACAGAGACGATTCTACCTCAAGCAGGAACAACAATCAATTCAACATGTCGGAGGAATTAATATGATGGTTTGAGAGGTTGTTTGAAGATTTGAGGGACGGATTGGATAGGCAAGAGGGATGGATGGAAAGGCAAGACCCGTTGCTTGCCAATTTATGTAATGATCAATTTAGAAGAGTTCCCAATGCAAGGTAGGCAAGAGCCTAAAGTTGATAATCGTGATGAATATGAAGCGAGTGGTGACACTAATGAAAGGACATTAGTAGATGCCGAGCTAGGAATAATGGGGGATAGAGAAGTTAGGCATGAAAGAAGGATAGAGATCTTGTTGGATGTGGAGTTGATGCGAGTATGGGCAATATCAAAATGGCAATTCCATCATTCAACGGAAGGAGTGACCTAGGAGCATACTTGGAGTAGGATAGAAAAATAGAATTGATATTTGACTGCTACAACTACTCGGAGAAAAAGAAGGTAAAAATTGCAGAGTTCACCGATTATGCTGTTACTTGGTAGGATCAGGTAGTGAAAACTAGGAGGATGAATCGTGAGGGGACTATTAATACATGAGAAAAATTGAGGCCATCATGAGGAAGAGATTCATGCTCCATCACTGCTATAGGGAGCTTCATAAAAAATTACAGAGCATCTACAAGGTTTTTTAGTGTAAAGGACTATCATAAGAAGATGGAGATGTCATGATTAGAGTGAATGTTGAAGAGAATAGAGATGTCACTATGGACAGATTTTTAAATGGTTCAAATAGGAAAATGGCTAATGTAGTGGAATTGCAATATTATGTAGAGTCGGAGAACATGATGCATGTAGATGTGAAAATTGAGAGACAAGTGAAGACGAAGGAGACAACTAGGTATCCCTCGGGTTATTCGAGTTCTAATCCATCTTGAAAATCGAAGTGGGACAACAACAAGGGAGATGGGGCTGTTCCGAAGAGCACAACAGAGCTTTCAAAGGGAAAAGAAGAAATTGTTAGCAATGTCACATCTAAGGAAGATTTCCAACCATCTAGGAGTCGAGATATCATATGCTTTAGGTGCTTGGGATCGGGGAACACTGCTTCTCAATGTCCAAACAAAAGGGTGATGATTTTACGTGACAATGGAGAAACGTGTGTGATATTGAGGGTAAATATGATAACATGCTAAATTAGAAGAAGCTAGTGATGGTGAGAATGTGGAGTACATAGTGGACGAGCTATTGATTACGGTGCGAGGTCTTAGCATTCAAATCAAGGCGAAAGACTTGTGTTAGATTTTTTGTTGGCCATTCTGTGAACAAAATGGTAAAAGTGTAAATGATCAAAAGTATGGGGTCAATTTGTCAATTATTAAAGGTTAGGGTCATTGTGCACATGTGTAAAAGATGAGGGACTCAGTTGCAATTTTGGCAAAGTGTGCTAGGGTTCGAGCTATGAAGTAGGGCAAGATGTGTCGTCGAATGGTTGCTCGAGGGACAAAAACAGAATGGTCATCGCTCGCTTCTCACCCCCACTTCGCTCAAGCAAAACAGCATCGCTCGAGCGATAGTGTTACCCATAAAATCATATTTTCCTTTTTTCGACATTTTAACCCGACCAGAAATACCAAAAAGAGAGATACATGAGAAAAATTGCGTCGATTTTGTAATGTGCTTTCAAGGTATTGAAATTGAAGAAAACTCTCCTACACTTTAACTTTCTCATTCAACCCTATATTTGATTTGACCACTTAAATGACAAATATCAAATCAACATTCATCAAACACCACAACACAATTTTCTAGTGCCTTTGTTGATTCTTGGAGATCGAGGAAGGAGATCGGAGTCCCGATCATTAGAGAACAAGCGGCTCTCTTGAATCCACAGGAGATAGACAAAATCAAGATTTGGGAATTGGTGTAGCACACAATCCAGGAGGGCTAGGTGCCAGGAATTGGTGCAGGATCACACATTCCAGGAAGGGCTTGAGGAAACTATGGTCAGGATGTCAGAAATACCAGTGTAGGTTGAGTCTGGCTGATTGTAAGTTTCATTTACGTTTATAGTGGATTCCTACTGGCTTGGGCCCAGAGTTTTACCCACATTGGGGTTTCTCCGTCATCAAATAATTGTGGTATTTATCTTTCTGCAATTAATTTATGACCGGTATTCAAACATAGGATAGTAAAGCATGTGAACTAATCTGGACAAATTAATTTTTGTGACGTGTTGCAATTATTAATTGATTGAAAAAGAAAATTTTGCATAAACACCTATTAACCCCCCTCTAGGTGTTGATTGGGTCGAACTACGATATTTCAAGTGGTATCAGAGCCAAAACTCGAGTGCTGACCCACTGTTGTCTAAATGAGTCAATCACTGTCTGTGCCTCCGTATTTTGACGGAAGCAACTATGCCTACTGAAAGGTTAGGATGCGTGCTTTTCTTAAGTCCTTAGATGAACGTGTTTGGGTGAGTGTACAAAATAAATTAGAAGCCTCCTTCTACAACTGTGTCAGGTGTTGTTAATCTAACTGATATTTCACTTTGGACTAAGGAAGAGTTAGCTGATTGCAATTGGAATAGCAAAGGACTTCATGCCTTGTTTATGTCCGTGTCTCCCGAAGAATTTAGGAAAGTACCGATGTGTGAAACTGCTAAAGAGGTATGGGACATTCTAGAGACTACGCATAAGGGAACTAAAACTGTAAAAAATTCAAAATTGCAAATGCTAACCTCAAGGTTTGAAGAAATCAGGATGAAGGATGATGAATCTTTTGATGAGTTCTGTGCCAAATTGAATGACATTGTTAACTCTAGTTCAACCTAGGTGAGAGGATTCTCGAGCCTAAAATTGTGAGGAAGGTTCTTAGATCCTTGCCCGAGAGATTTAGACCTAAAGTTAAAGCTATTGAAGAAAGCAAGGATCTGGATACAATTAAGATAGAAGAACTCGTAGGATCCCTTCAAACCTATGAACTTACCATTTCACAACCAAGAAAAAACAAGTCCATAGCTCTGAACATTGTTAGGGAATGGGAGTCTGAATCATCTGACATGGAAACTATTCGCGAAATATTTCTTTCAATTTAAATTACAGCAAGTGTACGGGTCGTGACAAGTAATAAAATGGACTTTAGAAGTCCGAGTATCGTCCCACAGAGAAAGAGTAGTTCAATTTTATTTATTTTAGCCTTAACCGAAACTAATTGAATTAAAATGAATTTTGGAATCAAAAGCCCTAATTTTGGAAGAAATCCCCAAATTGAAAAACCCTAATTTCAAATCAAACCCTAATTTGGGGGAAATCCCCAAATTGAAAAATCCTAATTTCAAATCAAGCCCTAATTACTTAAATTCACTTAACAAATGACACAATTACGAAATGTTATGAAAAATAAATGAAATGTATTGTCAATTTATGAAAATCTATGTAAAACGAATGCACTAGGATCACGAATCCCCAAATAATTACTAATTAAACCCTAATTTCACAATTTTGATAATTCAATAAGAATTTGACAAATCAATACTCCTAAATCTATTCAATACTCTCTCTCGAGATGTATTGAACCTATTCTC